GCATGGACCTTCCCATAGTCCAATGCCCTATAAAAATAAAACCCCAAGCCTTACCCCACCACTGAAGAGTCTGAAGGCAGTTTCTGTGTCAGTTCAGGAGAGAGTATGTATACACGGACAGCCCCCGGCACGTCGTGGGCATCTGTAAGGCAGGGTGTGGAAATGGGATGGGAGGAGAAGGTGTAACTGGTAATCCTGCCTGAGCAATCGAGGACAGCAGTGCGTTTCTGGGCTGTGAACACGGGGGATCGTTGCGGTGGCAAACGCAGCAGCAGGGCCCGTGAAAGCAGCCCGCCAGTCCGTGCGACCCTTGAAGTGTCCTGGCCCCTCCGCACGGACAGCTTGGGCGTCGGTCAGGGCCGCGACCGCTTTCACTGGGAGACCGTGTTTTTGGAAGGTGGCACTGCTGTCGAAGGGTTGTGTGTAGAGCACTCCCCTGGGGGCCCCGGGCACCACTGAGAAGTAAAGCAACTTATTTTTTCAGAAGATGACGTTCCACTGGCTGCAGAGACAGCCGAGCGCTTGAACACCTAGCAGCGAACTGAAGGCAGCTCACTAGGGCAGCCCTGAGCTTTATTGCTGCTTCATGAGATCTTATCCTAGGATTGTAGAATATCTCAAGTTGGAAGGGGCCCATAAGGATTATTGAGTCCAACTCCCTGCTCCTCGCAGGACTACCTAAAACTAAACCGCATGACTAAATGCATTGTACAGATGCTCCTTGAACTCAGATGGGCTTGCCACTGTGACCACTTCCCCAGGGAACCTGTTCCAGTGACCAGCCACCAACCTTTCCCTCACGTCCCCCCTGAACTTCCCCTGACGCAGGTTCATGGCATTTCCCCGTGTCCCATAGTTTTGGGGTGTGCTAACGCCGTAACGTCCAGTTCACAGCAGCTTACTCCCTTCCGCAAGCTAACGAACGGACAAAGAAAACCCAGGAGGAGGACGGTGGTGTTCACACTGAGTAGTCCTGGTAGAATTAAGGACAGCTCTTCCATTCAGACCAAAGGTGAAGGGGTGACTGTGCTGGGGAGCGAGGGGAGCAGCAAGCCACGTAACCCAGTGACAGACACTGCGCATTTGCCCGTTGCTGTGGCTATTGCCAGGAACGTACAGCCTGTGACGGTGTGTCATGGACTTCCCTTCTCCCACAGGATCTGAAAGTGAGGAGGAGCTGCCGTGCAAACAGCCAAAGACTGAAACAAAGCAAGACTATGAAGAATGGAAGAAGAAAATCCTGGAAAATGCTGTCAAGGCACAAGAGAGGAGTAGGAGTACTGTCTCTGTAGTGCCACCTGGTAATATCACTGCTGCTTGCTCGTAATTTTAACCTTCCCTCTGCTCCAACAAGAGCTCCAGTAGCATGAGTGATGGCTGCCTGGCAGCCAGCCGATTTTACTTAGGAGCTATGTTTTAAGTATTTAAGAAAGTTATTTTTTTAGTAAGTGGCACCAGGATTGAGGTGATTTTACAGGAAGCCTGGCTGACTACTTACTAGGCTGGTCCCTGAGCAGCTGTGGCGTCGGGTGGGAGAAAAGCGTCATTGCTCTTACTGCCAGAAGCAAGTAACACTCTAATGCTGTGCTGTTAATGCTCTAATGCTGGTCAGTGAATTACAGGTTACATGCCCTTCTGCCCCTGGCTGGGAGTAGTCCCTGAAAAAAAAGAGGGAGCAGAGCATCAGTGCCTTGTTAAACTGCAGAACCAGGGGAGGAATTAAAAGACTGATAGTTGGTTTTGGTTTTTTTTACTGGTAAAGAAATATTGTTTAGTCACTGAATTTGACTTACTTTTATGACTTGTATGGGACTGAAGTCTCTTGTGCTTGTAAGGGGTCCCAAATATTCCAAGAAACAATAAAGACAGTGGAAGGAAGAGCTTTGTGTTATGACATCAGCTTCTTGGCACGTCTTGCCTATAAAAGCCCTGGAGTGCCAAGCAAAAGACCTACAGGAGATGTCTGTGCTGTAGGAAGGAAGATACCCAGGGCACAAGGGTCTTGTCGGGGTAACAGGGGTTTTTTAGATCTCAGTCATAAACATGAAGAGGAGAGCGTGCCCTGCCCTAGTTCTTAGAGGCAAATTTTGCAGTCCCACACTTCCATCTCAGCTACTCAAAGTACTTTTTGAAGGATAATTACAACTTTTAGCAGTACAGGGCTGGTGTAACTATAATCAAACCAATCCAAGCCTTCTGCCTGTGTTTCTCTTGTGTGTTCTCTGCCTGGGCTGTGCAAAGAGAAGTTCACTTTCATGAACCTGTTTTACAGAGCAGCCCCAAAACCCCCAGTGTCTGTATGAAGCAAGATAAACAATCTCATGTCCGAGCACTTGGATTTGAAGCACTGCTCCTATCTGAGCTGCTTCTCAGCAGTATCTTGATGGTTTGCCAAAAACCACGCTGCTGGGCACACTCCCTGCTTACCTGGGTGACGCGGACCGCACCAGGATTACAACAGTGGGTATCCCTGACTGCTGCAGCTGTCGGGATGTGGGGCCAGTTCTCTGCCGTACTTCCTGCTCCGGTGACTCCGCTCACCTCTGGTGTGTCCCTTGAGTGTTTTTCTATCACCCCAACGCAAAACACACAGGATGTGGTGAAACATCCCGTAGGGCTGCAGAGGTGCAGAACCCGTGGCTGCCAAATCTGAAAGGATTTCTGCGGTAGGAACAAAAAGGTAATGCTGCTGGCCAGATGCGCCTTCTCGTTGCAGAAAACAGGGAGGAAATACAGACAAGACCACAGAGCATCTGCATGTCACCCTCTTCCAAAAATAGAGGAAGAGGCACACAGTAACTGGAAAATTGAAACTTACTGGTCGCTTTCCTTTCACTTCTCCTCCCATTGCATAAAAAGGGAAATCACTTGAAGCCCACTTTAATAAACAAGAGTTAATGTCATTCCAGATGAGGAGTTCTGAACTGTAACAGTAACCACTGGGGAATGGGCTCCCAACAAATGCCTGATGGGCAGAGAAAACCCTGGATAATGAGCTCCCCTTGAGTAAGAGCTGTAACGAAGTGTCTGCCATTCAAAGTCTGGTCTGATACGTAGCAGAGGGTCCTTGGGCTGGGGGAGCAGCCAGCCTCACACATGAGCATCCTGGCGTTAAGGCCTGCTCCGAGATGCTTTCAGGTTGGCACAGTGGGGGCTTTAAATCAAAATCGAGGAGTAGCCTTGTTCCACTTTAATGGGATTTATTAGTGTTAATTCAGAAATATACAGACCAATTAATATAATCACATTTACCATGCAGAACCACTGTGGAAGAAACACATGAACAAAAGTGGGCCTTCACAGAAGGTGACTGATACACTGTCAGCATCATTTCACTTGATTTTAATGCTTCTCTGCCTCAGTTCTGGACGTGCTGCAGAGTCAGAAGCACTAGAATGGAAAAGATAACTAGAGTAGGGTAAGGCAGCCTTGCAGACTGCTTTAGTAGCAACCAACGCTTTTGCTAATTCAAGACATGAAAGTCCATAAAGTTAAATGGAGCTTTACAGTGGTTTGAGGTTTGCTGGAAAGCAAGTTTTAGTAGTATGAGTTTCTTTTTTTCCTAAGAGCCCATCCAGCTCACACTTGAGTTTTGCAGAATCTAGAAGAGGAATGAAGGAAACCACAGATTTAATAAATAAATGTTTTACTTTCAGCTGAGAGATTGTAAGTGGCTTTTTATACATCAGGAAAAGGTTTAAAATCCAAAATAAGTTAGTACGGTGAGAAAAACTTCACATGTTTAAGAGCAAACGGGAAAAACAGGCTTGAGCATCCTAACTGGGCTAAGGGCAGAGTCTGGCAACACACTGCTGCCCTGCCACTGAACAGGAATAAACCCTATTTTGCATATCACACCATATCAACTTCCCAGACATCATTAAAACTGTCTGAGAAGAAAAAAAAAATCCTCAAACTAAAACTTAAAAAATGAAGGGCTGCAGTCACAGCCAATAAGAAACACAAGTCTTAAATACATATAAACTGATGTCTGGAAGTCTCTTTCCTGGACAATATGAGATCTTTTTGCATAGACCTAACAGGCATCCGGCGATTTTATCTGTGGCAGTTTCACCTGTCTCCTTCCAAAAGCTCCATCAATACAACTCGCCACAAGAAAAAGCAGCAATGGACCGACTGGCTTAAGTCGCTTCAAACCAGGATTCCTCCTATTTCCTACGTGGTGACTTTTTTAGAGGACAGGAAAATCAAACACAAAACCAAAACACAAACTAAAACCATTCAACTCTGAGTAGTCGCACTCAAGCATCATCACTTTTGGGGGAAAAATAATCTTTTTGAAAAAATTACAGAAGATAGCTGATATCTTTTGTTCTAAGTATCAAACACCCGAGCGAAAAACTGCACTGCTGTTGTGGCAGTGCTCTGAAAGCCATGACATATACCAGTCGTGAAGAAAGTCTTCAGCGATGCCACGCTCGGTGTGCGAAACGGGACAACCGCTGTAAACGCACCAGCAGTACTCTGAAGCAAGAGGTCAGCCCCGCTAACAGCCGTCTTCTCCACCTCTGTGGAAAACTACAACTTGTAAAAACAAACACGACTGCTTCTGCTTTCAGAAACTATTTCAGTGCCTCTTCCTTGGGGCGCTTCTGGAACCTCAGCACTAACAGACATATTTGAGGAGGACAGACCCAAAACCTTAGTCACAAAACAAGGGTAGAAATTATTGAAGATACGGAGTCCTTCTTCCATGGCTTCCTGTCCATCTCCGAGAGCAGCAGATGCTCCGTACGAGCTTAGGCAAGCTTGACGGACATGCTCTGAAACCTCTTCAGCCGGTTAGCAGCAGCCACCACATAGAAATGCTTCTGTGAACAAAACAGAACAGTCCCAAGCGTGAGGTAAAGGACCTTTTCTGTGGATCTTTTGTCCTGGTAAATCCATCCGCCCCTAGTGCCCCGCACCTTGTGTGGACTGCAGTGCAGAACAGCTTGGCACCGGGGAGCCACTAATCGCTGCGGAACAGTCCGCCGGTGCCGTGAACTTCCACGGGATTATTGCGCATTGCAGTGTGAAACGTCTTCACGTGACGTGTTATTAAAAATGGAAATGCAGCAGTCTGACCAAACAGCTGGAGTGCAGGCCTGGAAAACGTGTCAGCCCCTGGAATTACAACTCTCCAGTGACAAAGGAAAAGGTCCTCACTGAGTTTTCCTCACCTTTCCATGGGCTTATTTGGAACAAGGTCACCTTTCAGGATTGATTATCTACAATCCAATAGATACTCCGACAGAAATTCTTATCTATCACTTCTTCACATAAAAGTTAGTTCTGAAGGAGCATGGGGTTATCAGAAAGGTCTTGAGGGGTTCTCTGGATGGTTTTAAGCCCAATTCTTTCTCTCTCCCACACTTCTCTCTCTATTGGGAAGAACAAAACTGCCTCATGTCCCTCCATAGTGACAACAGAACGATGCAACTGTTGTCAATGGGAAAATACCTCTCCAATATGAAGAGAAGAACATTTAATATAAGCTGAGCAGCACCTGACGTCTCTGAACTTGTAAAGAAAAAATACGTAAAACACCAATCAGAAGGAGTAAAAATTGAAACTAGTCTTTCAAAAAAAAAGAAGCAGTATCATTCTGCAGGAGAAAAAAATAATTTACAACTGAAAACAGACTTCCCAAACTCATCTTTACAATAAAGAAGCCTGTGGCCCTAAGTGTGTCACCACAGAGAAAAGGAGGGAATGGCTCTGCCTGTCGAGCTGATTTTCCCTCTGAAAGGAGGTTGCCCAAACTCGGCCTACTGACCTTCCATTTTCTGTGAGCCATGTAACTCTGCAGCAACAGCTGGGACTTCAGGCGGCGCTTGGACTTCTTGGCTTTGGCGGGCAGATTGTTCAGCCACTCGTGCCTCAGACACTGTGTTGCGCTCATCCGGCAGCTGCGGGAGAGGAAACTGCCATGTAAGCCCAGCCACCCTCACTGCCATCTGCTGCTCCGTGCCCCGTGCAGCGACTGTTGGTACAGCAACTGCCTTAAACGAGCCAACACGAGTGAGGGGAGATGCTTCCTGGGAGGTTGTTCATCCCGGGGCGCAGATCCTGAAGACACCCCACCCTCTCTGGTGTAAGAGGTGAGTGGTGTGAAAAGCTGCTGGTGGGTCTGCAGTGGGTTGACTGAGCTGGGGTTAAATACTGTATTTTGCCCTGTTTGGATGTGGGTTTTTTTTTTCTTTGAAGAAGCAGCTGTACAGGTTCATCAGTTGACATATCACTGTGTGATGTGAATGCAGAACTTTGCTAAGAGAATCAGAAAAATAGTAGCTGTCATGTCACCGGTCTGTCCTGATAGCGTGGGCTTATTCAGAGCCTCGTATTTCAAAAGCACAATTGTCTATTCACCCTAAACTTGGGTCAAGATAATACGTTAAAGCCTGACGTTCAACAATGGGCCCTAACATGAAGGCCTATCCAAAAAATGTTGAGAAATAGATGGTAATAGAGGAAACCTCGGGGGTTGAGGGGAAAAAAAAATGGTTAATTGGCCTTTTTTTTTTAAATGAATGCCTATGCCTATGCCCAATCCTGAGCTTTGTCTGAGCTGTCACTGAGAGGATGATGAAAAGATGACTCCTGCCTGCTCGCACCTGATGTCGGTAGTCAGGGGAGGTAGGTCCAGGTCTCGCACAAGGCCAGACCTCCTGTCCAGCATGGCATGGTGCCGAGTCTCTAGGGCAGCGGAAGCTCTCCGCGTACCTTGTGAGCAACCGGCCAACTGACTGCTGCTCTCTGCAGCTCACACACACACCCTTGCACAGTCATTTCACTCGCAGCTTCTAACCAGACTTCACACAGTGTTCCTCTGGAGTCCCTATTCCCAGTGCACAGAAAAT